CATCCGATCGGAACACCCCACATCCATGTCACTATATTTATCACATTACATAATTATAGTACAATATCGTTGTCTATATTCATTGTACTGTGCTTATCTGCCCCATATGATGGACTTCCCAGGCCAAGAGAGGGTGCTGACCAAAAGCTATATCCCTTCTCAAGGACACACAGTCCACCCACTCCTGCCTAAGGGAGTGGAGAGGTGGAGTCAGGGCCCAAGGCTTCAGGAAGACAAAAGCCACAGTCACAGCCATGAAGAAGACCCATGTGAGCCTTTTCACTGTAGAGAGAAACTGAGGCACTGACAGAAGAAGGATTCAGAATGTCAGTGCTGAAGCACCAAAAAAAGCTCAAGTTATGCTCAAAGCAAGGATGCTCATAAAGCATTCATTTTGATAAAAAGTATTAAATACATTCTGATGTAATTGAGTGGGGGCCAGGGAATGGGGTTAGGGGATTAGTCATTAAAATCCATAAATACGATGAAATATTATTCAGCCTTAAAAAGAAACGCAAATCTGACACAAGTTATAGCGTGGATGAACCTTGAAGACAACATGCCGAGTGAAATAAGCCAGGCACAAAAGGACAAATACTGCTTGATTCCACCTATATGAGGTATCTGGAGTAGTCAAATCCATAGAGACAGAAAGTAGAACGGTGATTACCAGGGGCTGGGGGGCAGGGAAGGGGCAGGGAGGAATGCGGAGCTAGTGTTCAATGAATACGGACTTTCCATATGGGATGATGTAAAGTTCTAGAGACAGATGGTGGTGCCGGTTGCACAGCGCTGTGAAGGTACTTCATGTCCTTGAACTGTACACTTATAAAAGACTAATATGATAAATTTTATGTTATGTGTGGGTTTTTTTTTTTAAGGTTTTTATTTATTTGACAGGGAGAGACACAGCGAGAGAGGGAACACAAGCAGGGGGAGTGGGAGAGGGAGAAGCAGGCTCCCCATGGAGCAGGGAGCCCGAAGTGGGACTCAATCCCGGGACCCCGGGATCATGACCTGAGCTGAAGGCAGACGCTTCACGACTGAGCCACCCAGGCGCCCCTAGAACCATCTTTGCTCATGTGTCTGGTGGTTGTATTATCAGTCTTCTGGGACATCACCTGGGGCTTCTGGCCATAGCATCTCCAAGAGGCTTCTCCATGTAGTCTGGGCTTCCTCAAAGTATGGTGTCCTCAGGGTAGTTAGACTTAGTGGTAGTTCAGGACTCCAGAGGTGACTGTCCCCAGAGGACTACGTGAAAGCTTTTGACTTACCCTCAGAGGTCCCACAGCATCACTCCCCCCCACCCCCCACTGCATTCTGATGGTTACAAATTAGTCATTAAGGATGGTCTTTTTTTTTTTTTAAGATTTTATTTATTTATTTGACAGAGAGAGACACAGTGAGAGAGGGAACACAAGCAGGGGGAGTGGGAGAGGGAGAAGCAGGCTTCCCGCCAAGCAGGGAGCCCGATGCGGGGCTCGATCCCAGGACCCTGGGATCATGACCTGAGCCCAAGGCAGACGCTTAACGACTGAGCCACCCAGGCGCCCCTATGTGTATTTTTAAATTTAATTTATTTATTATTTTAGAGAGAGAGCAGGTGCCGGCGGTGAGGGGCAGAGGGAGAGGGAGAGAGAAACTCAAGCAGACTCCACACTGAGCTCGGAGCCTGATTCAGCGCTCCATCTCACAACCCTTAGATCAAGACCTGAGCCAAAAGCAAGAGTCCGACGCCCAACCAACTGTGCCATGCAGGTGCCCCTACGTTATGTGCATTTTGCCATAACTTAAAAGAAAGTGTTAAGAGTTTAATGCTTGAATCCAAACTCTACCAAGAATCCTCGGGAAGATAAGCTATTACTTCATCAGGTAAGTTTGGCAAGTAAAATGCTGCTCTATACTTGTCTGAAATTCTACCTCTCATGAGACTTTGCACTGTGATACTGTGATTTATAATAAATACATATTTGGTCTTCATCCCCGTTCCTGACACGGAGCTCTTTAAACCCTGGAATTTGCTAAGAGATAAGAAAGTCAAGGTGTCGGGCGCCTGGGTGGCTCAGTTGGTTGGGCGACTGCCTTCGGCTCAGGTCATGATCCTGGAGTCCCTGGATCGAGTCCCGCATCAGGCTCCCTACTTGTCAGGGAGTCTGCTTCTCCCTCTGCCCCTCCCTGCCTCATGTGCTCTCTCTCATTCTCTCTCTCTCAAATAAATAAATAAAATCTTTAAAAAAGAAAAAGAAAGTTAAGGTGTCGTTGGTATTCACAACAAACCACGGTCAACCACACTGAGTTTATGTTAATGAAGTGCCTTTGGGAAGCTCCTACGAATGGGGGCTGGTTGCCAGGAAAACCAATCACATGGCTAGAAGGTGTGAATTTTGAGTCCCACTCCCTGACATCCGAAATGAGGAGAGGGGCTGGAGGTTGAATCAATGGCTAGTGGCCAGTGATTTAATGCATCATGCCTCTGTCATGAAGCCTCCACAAAAACCCAAGAAAAGGATGGGGATTGAAGAGCTTACAGGTTGTTGAACACGTGGAGATGCTGGGAAAGCAGTACCCTCAGAGAGAGCCTAGAAGCTCTGAGCCCCTTTCCATATACCCAATGTATCTCTTCCCTCTGCCTGTTCCTGAGTTAGATCCTTTTGTAATAAACCAGTAACCTAGGAAGTAAAATGTTTCTCAGAGTTCTGTGAGCCACATTAGCAAATTAACTGAACCCAAGGGAGAGATCGTTGGAACCTCCGATCTATAGCTAGTCCGTCAGAAGAGCACAGATTACAATCTGGACTTGGGAATGTTGTCTAAAGAAGGTGAATGGAATTGTAGGACACCCAGCTGCTGCTGAGAATTGCTTGATGGTGTGGGGAGGAAACACACTGGAACTTGTGTCAGAGTCATGGTATGCTGAGAACACAGGATGAGGTCTATTGGCTGGTATGCTTTGATTAATTTACTTAGCACGTATGTATCGTGGGTCTCCTATGAGGAGCACTGCGCTTGATGCAAGCTGGTTGAGTCCGAGGATCCAGAGGGGGTCCCTGTAGACCAGCCAAGAGGGTCCTTGGCTTCTTGCAGGATGGAAGTTAAATTTGAGCCAAGAGCAAGTGAGAGGAAAGTTTTTTGAAGATGTGGAGAGAGACTCTAGATACGGACAGAGCATCTGGGAGACTTGGAAAGTGAGTCTTGCCTTCGCTTGGGGCCTGGGTTTTTTGTTTGTTTGTTTTAAGTTTATTTTTGTAGTAATCTCTACACCCAAACTGGGGCTCAAACTCACAACCCCCGAAATCAAGAGTTGCATGCTTGGGGTGCCTGGCTGGCTCAGTTGATAGTGTATGAGACTCTTGATCTCAGGACTGTAAGTTTGAGCCCCACATTGGGTGTAGAGATTCTTTAAAAATAAAATCTTAAAAAAGCAAAGGAAAGAGTTGCATGCTCTTCTAGGTGAGGCAGCCAGGTGCCCCGGGCCTGGGGTTTTTACTGAGGACAGTGTCTGGTACACACGTCTTCTCACTAATCCAGGAACAAAGACTAGTGTTTAGGTGTCCTCCGTAAACCATTTATGCCCTGGAGCAAGGGGTCTTGATGAGTCAGTGGTCTTGGTTCCTGACGACCCCTCCCAGTCACTCCTTAGACGTTATCTATTGCGCCAGAAGGCTCCAAAACATTCATTAAATCCTTGACCTTTGCAAGGAGGACCTGTATTATCTGCTCTATAAGGCCTACATAAGGCGCAGGTGTAGGTCCTAGCAAGGACCAAAGCAGGAAAAGGAGCCCTTAGAGCAGTTTTTTATGGGGTCCCTTTAGTTGCCCTGTTTCAGGCTGAGCACAGGGTTACTAACATTTTATTCGTTTTGTTTAATTAAGGTATAATTTACATACAGTAAAACACAACATATATACGGGTCAATTCATTTTACCTGCGTATAGATCCATTTAACCACTACCTAGATCAAAAAGTTTAGCACCCTAGGAAATTCCCTCCTGCTTCTCCACCCTAGGTAATGACCTCCCCCAGAGGTGATCCTTGTTCTAACTTCTCTCCCCATAGATTGGTTCTGCCTGTTCTGAATGCTGTATAAATGGAATCACTTACTATTGTATTTATCAACTTTTTTGTGTCCAGCTTCTTTTGCTAATACGATATTTGTGAGATTTACCTAGGGTAGTGCGTGTGCCAATAATAAGTTATTTTTTTATGGCTGGGCAGTGTTCCATTTATAACTATACCACAGTTCATGTATCTATTCCTTTATGGATTTTTAGGTTAGTTCTAGTTTTTGCTTCTTATGCATGAAGATGCTCTGAACATTTAAAAAAAAATTTTTTTTTTTTTAAGTAATCTCTTCACCCAACATGGGGCTTGAACTCATGACCCCGAGATCAAGAGTCGCACCCTCTTCTGACTGAGGCAGCCAGGCAGCCCTCTGAACATTTTTGTACAAATCTTTTTTTGGACACATGCGTCTATTTCTCTTACGTGTGTGCCTAGAAGAATTGCTGGATCATAGAGGTGTTATATGGTGCATATTATTAAAATCTAATAGAGTCTAGTTCATAGATACGTCCTGCTCTTTCTCCCAGTGGTAGGCGCCTCCCTCCCCCAACTTCCTACCATTGCATTTGTTTTTCTCTGCTGGCCTTCAGCTAAGGACAAGCCATTCACATGTTCATTTGCATAATGTACATTTCTTGCATGCTGTGCACATGGCACTTTGTACACTGGTTATATAGCGAATACAGATATGAATAAGGCATCCACCTCAAGGAGTCTACAGCAGCTAATAGGGGAGGTTATAAACATAATCATAAAGAAGATACTAAGTGGCCAAACTAAGGTTGAGATAAAGTATTACAGGAGTTCAGAGATGAGAAACATAACATCCAGTGGGGTAACCAGAATAGCTTCATGGAGGAGACAACATTTGGGTTCAGCGCTGTAGGAGAAAAGTCAATTAAAACATGTGCAGAGTGTCGTATGAGGGGTGGGCAGGGGCGAGCTTTCTGGATGGAGGGCACATGGGCCAAAGCGGATATGTGAATGTCTGAAGTGTGTGACCCCTTAAGCTCATGAGGACAGAGCCCACGCTGGTCTAGCCGGCTCAGTGCCACATTCCCAGTGTCTGGCCAGGCCTGGCACACAGAAGATTCTCAGTCAAAATGCACTGCTTTACACAGTGAGTGGTGGAGTTTGGCTGCAGCAGAAGGAGCTTGGAGAGAGGCAGTGGGGAGAAGGATAATGTCCTCGTTATCTACTGCTGTGCAACAAATTACCTCCAAACTTGGTGGCTTGATTCGACAAGAAACATTTATTCTCTCTCACAGTTTCTGCGGATCAGGAATTTGAGCGTGGTTTGGCTGGTCGGTTCTGGCTGGGAGTCTCGAGCCCTGCAAGCCCGTGTTGCTGGGGCCACAGTCATCTGAAGGCCTGACTGAGGCTGGGGGACGCCCCTGTGCAGCAGCTCATTCGAACACCGCTGGTGCTGGCTTTGGTGGGAGACTCGCTTCCTCCCCACAGGGGCGTCTCCAGAGGGCTGCTCAAGTGTCCTAAGGATACTAACTGACCTCCCCCAGAGTGAGCGGTCCCAGAGGAAGGAGCCAGGAGGAAGCTATAACCGTTTCATTGCTTGACCTCCCAGTCAGGGCATCCCTTCTGCCACATTCTATGCATTAGAAGCAAGTCACCAAGTCTGGCCCACATGCAAAGGGAGGGGAACTAGGCTCTACCTGTGAAAGGGAAAAATCTCAAAAGCATTTTTGGATATATTTTAGATCGCCATGGTGATGGTGGGAAGATTTGTCTGCTCAGAACTCAGGGGCTCTCAGGGCCAAGTGGGACCCAGAGGGACCCAGCCTCCTTGAGGGATGCAGGAGTCTTGCCCTGGTGTTATCTACCCAGTGGACCCTGAGCCCTGGAGGGAAAGGTGAGGTAGTAAAAATGAACAACACAGTGAAGACACAGCACCGCACGCCATGGAGAACTCCGACGTGGCTCAGCCCAGGGCAGGAAACACTAGGGGTCTGATGGGAAGATAACCTGAGGACAAGAAAACTCCCCCAGGAGAGTCGGGGGAAGCCTCCTGGGGGGCGTGGCCTCCGAGCTGCATTCTCCCAGTGTTTTGTTTTGTTTTGTTTTTTTAAAGATTTTATTTATTTATTTGAAAGAGAGAGAATGAGAGAGAGAGAGAGCACATGAGAGGGGGGAGGGTCAGAGGGAGAAGCAGGCTCCCTGCCGAGCAGGGAGCCCGATGCGGGACTCGATCCCACGACTCCAGGATCATGACCTGAGCCGAAGGCAGTCACTTAACCAACTGAGCCACCCAGGCGCCCCTCTCCCAGTGTTTTTACTGAGCCCACAGGCGTGGTGCTGGGCACACTCACAGAAGGTTACACATGTGTGGTCAGCCTGTGCAGAGAGTGTCGGAGGCCTGGAGGGACCCCCGTCGACTGTGGCAGCAGACACTGTCTCTGTCCCAAGTCCGCTGAGACCTTCTGAGGCCACTCACTGTGGGTGCACAGCTTTTCAGTTGGCTACAGATTTTCCCAGGAGAAAACCGTGAAGTGTGCTGGAGATCGTGCGTGTGCACTTCTTTTGTTCATTTCCCCCACCAAAGGTCCTTCACATTGTTCAAGTCTTCCCTCCCTCTCTGCTCCTGCTTCTCTGAAAATACTGGCCCTGCGTGTACCTCGCCATTTCTTTGCTTCTTGACTCTCTGTCTGAGAGAGTCTGGAAGACTCTTCCCTGCCGCTCTCTTTCTCCCCTCAACAGCTGACCCTCAGGGCAAGTGTCAGGATTTGCTTAGTGAATGGGTGAGTCTGGGGAACTCCTGTTGTCCCTCAGGGAGCAACGAATGCCACCTCTGGGCCTTTTCCCAGACTGATGAGCAACCCCCTGCCCCTCATCTTCCCGTGGGTACGCCTGGGCCCCTGGGCAGGTTCCTCAGGGCCTGCTGGAGTCTAGTTGTGGGGATGGTAGAATATACCTTTAAAAATCAGTGCTGGGTGCATAGAACACCGTGTAACTGTTCCTTTTGATACGTTGGCTGTGAATTTCTTGGAACTGGCTGTGTGACCTTGGACAACTTGTACAGCCTCTCTGAGCCTTAAGTTCCTTATCTGTCAAAGAGGAAACATTGTGAGAATTAAAGCTGATGTTTGTTAAACTTTGGGCTCTCTCTGAACTCAGTGAGGGCTGAGAAAATGGGGCATTTCTGTCCTGTCCTTGCAGGGCTGGTGTGAGAACCACCACATAGGCTGCTACTGGGCAAAGGAGGGCTGTGACGATCCAGGTGAGTCACTACGTGTCCCCTGCGAACTTCGGGAAATGGAAGGAAGGCGTGGAGGAGAGAAGCTGGGAACGTGTGGTGGAGCAGGCCTCAGGGAGGGGGCAATTGTCAGCCTTTCACACATTCAGCCCCTGAGGCTCAGAGACCCCTGATTTGCCAGCAGGGCTCTTCCCAGATCAGCCAGGAGCTGGAGCTGGACGCTGCGGTGAGAGCGACAGCCTTGCCTGGGAGGAAGGAGACAAGATGGGTAAGACCATGGGGCTGTGATCAGAAAGACCCCTGCAAGTCAAGGGGAAAATGCACGTTTGAAAACTCTTGACTCCTAGTCACTAGACCAACAGCCAGGGAGCTGGAAAGTGAACCTCTGAGAGCCTGGGAGGCTGGTTGCAAGAAGACCAGGATAGAGACGTCTTGGAGCTGGAAGGAAGCATGGAGGACAAGCAGGACCGCACCACCCAAATTCCCAGATGAGGAGTTCCAACTTTCAGTGTGTTCTCGCTGGAGGGTGAGCTGCATCTTCTGGACTGTGGCTGAGGGTCAGAGGCAGGTCGACGGACAGCCTACTGCTTCAAAGGGAAAAGGAAGTCTTGAGGGAGATCAAAGTTCCAAGAGAGCTGGGAATTAGGACAGTCTGAATTATCTTCCTGACTCACTTAAAGACGTCTCACCTCTGGGAAGGTTGCCTCTTAACCATTTTTCTGTCACAAAAATTGCCCTCCTTGTCAACTGGCTAATAAGAGCAGTAGAAAACTTGGACCACCTACTCTGCTGTTCCTCTACTCTGGCTGTCAGATGACAAAGCCTTGCACGTGTGCACACACACACATACACACACGCACGTGTGTATGCCTGTCCAGCTCAGTGGCTCCCATTGTTTCCGGAGGCAAAACCAGATGCCCTTGTCTGTCTTTCAAGGCTGTCCTAGCTTGGGCACAGTTCTTCACCTTGACCTCCTCTCCTGCCACTCTGCCCCCAAAGTCCCTCTGCTGCTTCGAAGCTTCCCAAAGGGGCCTTGCATTTTCCCACTGCCCTGTTTTTCCTACTGGTATGCCATGCCCTCTTCCCCCTTTCCTTCCTCTGCCTTTAAAATCTTCTCTTTCAGGCTCATTTCCTAGGACTCCTCCTCTAGGAGACCACCCTTGACCCCTGCTACCGTCCATCCCCAGCAGAAACAATTTCTCTACCATCCATTTATCAAAGCCTGACTTGAATTACATAGCATTGTCTCCTCCCTCGCCCCCAACATTTTATGGTGAAACAGTTCAAATGCACAGCTAAGTTGAAAGAATTTTACAGTTAACACCCATTTCTCTAGCATCTTGTTTCTACTGTTAACATTTTATCAAGCTTGTTTTTATTATGTATCTATTTATCTTTCTATGCTCCTCTCCATCTGTTATTAACCCGTTTTTTGATACGTGTCAAAATAAATTCTAGACATCAGTACATTTCTCTTGAAATACTTCTAGATGTATACTATTAATCAGAGTTCAATCTTTTTTACTTTTTTTTTCTATTTTTTAAAAAAGATTTTAGGGGCATCTGGTGGCTCAGTTAGTTAAGCGTCTGCCCTTGGCTCGGACCATGATCCCAGGGTCCTGGGATAGAGCCCCGCATCGGGCTCCCCGCTCAGCAGGGAGTCTGCTTCTCCCTCTCCCTCTGCCGCTCCCCTTGCTTGTGCTCTCTCTCTCTATCAAATAAATAAATAAAATCTTAAAAAAAAATTATTTGAGAGAGAGAGAGGAGGGCATGAGTGAGTGGGGGCAGGGGCAGAGGGAGAGAATCCCAAGCCAACTCCACACCAAGTGCAGAGCTGCAGATGGGGCTCCATCTCAGGACCCTGAGATTATGCCCTGAGCCAAAATCAAGAGTTGGACACTCAGTCTACTGAGCCACCCAGGCGCCCCAACAGTTCTTTTCTATTTTGATGTGAAATTCGAATACAGTGAAATACACAAATCTTGGGTGCCTGGGTGGCTCAGTTGGTTAAGCAACTGCCTTCGGCTCAGGTCATGATCCTGGAGTCCCGGGATCGAGTCCCGCATCGGGCTCCCTGCTCAGCGAGGAGCCTGCTTCTCCCTCTGACCCTCCCCCCCTCATGTACTCTCTCTCATTCTCGCTCTCTCAAATAAATAAATAAATCTTAAAAAAAAAAGAAATACACAAATCTTAAGTGTACATTTGCTGAATTTGGACAAGTGCAAACACCTGTTCAATCCAACCCCTAATAACATATAGAACATTAGCATCACCGGGGCGCCTGGGTGGTTCAGATGGTTAAGCGTCTGCCTTCGGCTCAGGTCATGATCTCAGGGTCCTGGGATCGAGTCCCACATCGGGCTCCCTGCTCCTTGGGAGCCTGCTTCTCCCTCTGCCTCTCTTTCTCTGTCTCTCATGAATAAATAAATAAAATCTTAAAAAAAAAAAGAACATTAGCATCACCCAAATAGCTTCCCAGCAACCTCCTCCCTGCCTCCACCCCAGGTAACCACTCTTCTGATGGTTTTTCCTGTTTTAGAACTTCATATGAATGAAATCACACACTGTATACTCTTACATAAGGCTTCTTCCACTCAGCATGTTTTTGAAATTCAGACCTGTTACATAAAAGCACTTGTTTGTTCCTATTTATTGCTGAGTAGTATTCCATTGTATGGATGTACTATAATTTTTGTTTATCTATTCACCTGTTGATAGATGTCCGGCTGTTTCCTGTTTGGAGCTATTAAGAATATAGTTGCCCATTGTCAACTACAATTAAAAAAAAAAAGAATATTGTTGCTGTGAACATTCTTAAACAAATCTGTGTAGATGTATGTTTTAATTTTCTTGGCTAAATACCCAGGGGTGGAATTAAGTTTGCCTTTTTCTTTCTTTGGATCGTGAGCTTTTTTTTTTTTTTAAAGATTTATTTATTTATTTATTTATTGGAGAGCGAGCGAGAGAGAAACAGCATGAGAGGAGAGGGTCAGAGGGAGAAGCAGGCTCCCCGCTGAGCCGGGAGCCCGATGCAGGACTCGATCCCAGGACCCCGGGATCATGACCTGAGCCGAAGGCAGTCGCTTAACCAACTGAGCCACCCAGGCGCCCGGATTGTGAGCTTTTTGAGGGTTGATTTATTTAGCTTCTAGCTCCAAGCACAATGCCTTGGTACATGATAGGTTCTCCATAGACATTTGTTGAAATGAAACAAATTCAAGCACGACATAATTTTCCCATCTTCTATATAATATGCACCTCCCATTTAGCACTCTACGCGCCCAGTAACATATGAGCATTGTTTCTTTTAATCTTCCAATGAGCATCTGAGCTAAGAATTGATCCGTATCACAAGTTAGGAAACAGGCCAAGAGAATCTAGGTGAGCTGTCCCAGTGCAGGTGAAGGGAAGAGACAGAATTTGAAAATGATACTGTGGGAAGCATATTCTTCTATGCTGTTTTGCTTCTCTGAAGGTCTCAGCTGGGACCCGTGGAGTGACTGTCCCAGTTCACCCTGTATCTACTCTCAATGACTAGGCAAGGTAGGCTCTCTCCCTTCCCTCTATTCCCATTAGTCATGAATACATTTTCTGGTGGAACTCCAGATCTCACATACCTTGACAGAGGCCCACACTGCACTCCTCCAGATGGGAGGCATATAGTTTATCTCAAAATGCTGAGTGTCAACAGGTAAATGTGGACAGACAAGTGGACCAGAGACTCTACCACTGTGCAACCATCACAGCGGAGACTGGTTTAGGCAAGACCCATGAATGGATGTGAAATCTAGGGGATAATTTTGAAGAGAGGCAGGATGTCAGCATGTCTTAAAGTGCCTCTCCACAGATTGCTTATTAGTTCCAAGGGGGAAAATACAGTAACAATACATTGGAAAAATCAGAAAAAAAAATCACCATGACTCGATTAAAATTCACATCACTAGTGAGGGGCAGATGGACACCCCATGCCTCCTGGTATGATGCCCTGAGGACACACTATCACTTCCATAGTATTCCAGACTGAATCTAACCTTGAGAAAACATCAGACGCCCAAATGAGATATATTCTTAAAAAAAAAAAAAAAAGCTGTATTCTTCAGAAGTGTTAATGTCATAAAACACACACACACATACACGCAAAGGCTGTGAAGATGTTCCACTTTAATGGAAACTAAAGAGACATAACAGCTGAATGTGTTATTCGATCCTACACTGGATCCTGTTCAGGAGGAGAAAGAAAACAGGGACATAACTGAGTCAAGTGACAAAACTGGAATATGGATGGTAGATGAGGTCAAACTCCTGAGTCAATTTAAAATTTTTTTCAAGATTTTATTTATTTATTTGAGAGAGTGAGCATGAGTGGGAGAAGCAGCCTCCCCCGCTGAACAGGGAGCCTGACATGGGGTTTGGGGCTCGATCCCAAGCCCCTGGGATTATGACCTGAGCCGAAGGCAGACGCTTACCCGACTGAGCCACCCAGGTGCCCCAAAGTCCATTTAAATTTACTGAGTTGATATCTGTATTGCGGTTGTAAGATAGACCTTTATTATTGGGAATACATACTGAAGTATTTAGGGGTCAAAAGCCACCATGTATGTGACCTACACTCTAATGACTCCAAAAATATCTGTGTTTGGTGTGTGTGCAGTACTTAGAGCAACTGAGCAAAGTGTTGAGAAGAGGTGAATCTTGGTAAAGGATATACGAGAGTACTATTTTTATCCTTGCACCTTTTCAGTGAGTTTGAAATGATTTCCAAACAAAAAGTTTAGAAAATGCTCTCCTGCAAAGTCCCTGGAATCCTAGTCAGTGTGGACTGTGACCACAAGAACTGGACGTGAGCATCTCTTTCCTAAGTATGTTAGTCGGTCCCAAGCTGCCAAATGTATGATCCCAAGCAAAGTGAAAAAGTGCCAAGGAGCTAAGGCAGGCATCTTCTAAAAGAATCCCTTCCTCTTTGTCCCCTGTAAGAACATCTTTCTCAGAGCAGGCTCTCACTAGAGGCTTATTAAATCAGCCAGAGTTGCTTTCCGGCTTGTGAGTGATGACGGTGAACTCTGAATAGGTCTGAGATCTGGGTCCTGCCTCCCACTCTCCTGCTGAACTGCTGCATGACATCAGCCTCCTTATCAGTGGGGTGACAGGTTTGGACCAGAGCAGAGGTTGCGAGTTGGCAACCCAAGAGCCATCAGTCCACAGATGTATTTGTCCTACAGAGTATTTTAATTAATTAATTTTAAAATATTTTATTTGAGGAGCGCCTGGGTGGCTCAGTCGGTTGAGAGGTTGCCTTTGGCTCAGGTCATGATCTCAGGGTCCTGGGATCGAGCCCCATGTCGGGCTCCCTGCTTGGTGGGGAGTCTGCTTCTCCCTCTCCCTCTGACCCTCCTCCCTGCTTGTGCTCTCTCTCTGTCTCAAATAAATAAATAAAATTTTAAAAATAAATAAAATAAAATATTTTTTTGAGAGTGTGTGAGCGGGGTAGAGGAGGGGCAGCAGAGAGCCTGACCCGGGGCTCTATCCCACAACCCCTGAGATCATGACCTTAGCCGAAACCAAGAGTCTGACGGTCAACCGACTGACTACCCAGGTGCCCCCCTAACTCTTTTATATTATAACCAATCAGCTTTCTCATTTACAGTTTCTGCTTGGCCTTTGGACTGGAAGATCTCAAAGGACCTCCCAGTTCCCATCTTCTTTGACCATGTCCCATCTCTTTAGGGATTTCAGATGATGAAGAAGAGGTTGGACAGAGTGAAGAGTGAGGTGAAGAAGAATAACCGAACCAAAATGAGAGTCACTTCAAGTACATTGGCTTACAAAGGGCCAGACTGTAGTTCAAGATATTGATGTATCCAGTGGAGCTCTAGATGGGATGGGATGCTTGGAGTCAGTTGGAAAGAAACCAGAAGGTTTCACTGGGACTGAAGGATCAGGACAGAGGATGGAAGAAGGACTGAGGGAAAGCCAGGTATCTGGAGAGACTGCCAAGTGCCTGCAACTGAGGGCATTACTGTGAGCAGTCTTGGGGTCATCGCTAAGAGCAGTTGTGATTTGCAGCCAGGAAGTGGGTCTTGGAGAGAAAAGGGAAAGAAAAAAAAATTCAAAAATCAAGGTGTAGTGGAAAGAGTACTGAGCAAGGAATCAAAGGTTGTGGTTTTTAGTTCCAGATCTGCCACTTACTAATTGTGTGATCTTGGGCATATCACTCCACATCCCTGAATCTGTTTCCTCAACTTCAAAATACGGATGATAATACAAGCCCTGTCTTAGAGTTATAGAAAAGCTAACCTACAATACCAGACAGCAAAGCACTTAGCAACCGGGGAAGCACTATGCCAAAGTGAGATGAAATTTAGAAGGTGTAATTTAGTCTCAGAATTCCGCAACTTGAAGGGCCCTTTGAGGGTCTGTAACCCTCTCATTTAACAAACCATGAGTTTGAGGCCCCAAGAGGAGAAATTACATAGCACATAGCAAGTTTAAGGCAGAGGTGGGCAGAGTGATCCATTAATTTAATTTAATTTTTTTAAATATTTTATTTTTGGGGCGCCTGGGTGGCTCAGTCATTAAGCGTCTGCCTTCGGCTCAGGTCATGATCCCAGGGTCCTGGGATCGAGCCCCGCATCGGGCTCCCTGCTTGGCAGGAAGCCTGCTTCTCCCTCTCCCACTCCCCCTGCTTGTGTTCCCTCTCTCGCTGTGTCTCTGTCAAATAAATAATTAAAAAAAAAAATTTTTTTTTTTTGAGAGAGAGAGAGTGAGAGAGAGAGAGTGCATGAGAGGTGGTAGGGTCAGAGGAAGCAGCAGACTCCCCATTGAGCAGGGCGCCTGATGTGGGACTCGATCCTGGGACTCCAGGATCATGACCTGAGCCGAAGGCAGTCGCTCAACCAATTGAGCCACCCAGGCACCCCAAATAAATAAAATCTTTAAAAAAAATAAAGATTTTTATTTATTTGAGAGAGAGACAGAGAGAGAGAGAGCACACAAGCAGCCGGAGGGGCAGAGGGAGAAGCAGACTCCCTGCTAAGCAGGGAGCTTGATGTGATGTGGGGCTCCATTCCAGGATCCTGATATCATGACCTGAGCCGAAGGCAGCTGCTTAACCAACTGAGCCACCCAGGTGCCCCGCTCCATTAGTTTTATTTATTTTATTTTTAAGATTTTATTTATTTATTTGACAGAGAGATAGAGAGCACAAGTAGGCAGAGAGGCAGGCAGAGAGAGAGGGATCATGACCTGAGCCAAAGGCAGATAGATGCTTAACCAACTGAGCCACCCAGGAACCCCCCCCCCCCGCTCCATTAGTTTTAGAGTAGAACCCTCTTTGAGCTCCCTCTGGGGATGGGTGAATGAAACTAACCAAAGGAAGAGGGAATAGGGACCTACTGGGGGGAATTTGTGTACAGGGAATGTCCCAAAAGTGTGTGTTTCATCCATCCACTTGACAGGGACAGGTCTTAGTAACTAGTCTTGTGGTTATGGGAAAAAGGAAACACTTAGGGAACCTTGAAAGAAGTAGTCTTATTCGAGGGAAAGGAAGTCCCACATTGCACATTATGTAGCATGCACAGTGAATGAAATCACTGTGAAAGTGAGAGGTGAAAAGACCATCTTGTTCTACTTCCCTGATAAAGATGAGGAACCTGAGGCCCAGAGATGGGAAATGGCTTGCCCAAGGCCACACAGCTTGTTCCTGGCAGAGCGAGGACTATAATGGGGTTTCTCAACTTGTAGTCCAGGGCTTTTACTGTATGTGCCAGTTCAGATTGCCTATGGCAGCAAATAAGAGAGACTAATGGTGGCTTACGCCAATGGAGATTTATTGACTAATGATGGCTTTAGGACATAGGGGTTACTTTTCTCACTTTACAAGAGGCCCAGAGGGGGACAGTCAGATTAGTGTAGCTGCTGAAGGATGCTAAGGACCTAGTCTCCTCCTATCTTCCTACTCCTCACCCTCAGCCCATGACTTTTGTCCTTACTGTCTTAAGATGGCTGCATCACCTCTAGGCATTGTGTCTGTATTCCGGGCAGCTCAATTTGTCTTTTTTTTTTTTTTTTTAAGTAGGCTCCATGCTGGGCTTGAACTCCAGACCCTGAGATCAAGACCTGAGCTGAGATCAAGAGTCGAACACTCAATCCACTGAGCCACCCAGGAGCCCCTGAGTTTGTCTTTTTATAAAGACTTACCTGAAAAAAAAAAAAAAAAAGACTTATCTGAAAGCTTCATCCAGTGAGGCACATAGCTATCCCAATTGCAAAGGTGTCAGGGTAGGTAAGTATTTTAAGTGTCCAGGCACTAAAGTGGGGAGCTTTTGAGTTGTTAGTCTATAATGTTTGCAGCCACTATGCTACACCATTTTTAATTAATTAACTAATTAATTAATTTAAGGTTTTATTTTATTTTTTAATTTTTTTTTAATTTTTAATTTTTAATTTTTGAGAGAGAGGAATGACAGAGAGAGAGAGAAGGAGAAGGGTGAGAGTCAGAGGGAGAAGCAGACTCCCTGCCGAGCAGGGAGCCCGATGCGGGACTCGATCCCGGGACTCCAGGATCATGACCTGAGCCGAAGGCAGTCGCTTAACCAACTGAGCCACCCAGGCGCCCTTTATTTTATTTTTTAAAGTAATCTCTACACCCAACATGGGGCTTGAACTTACAACCCTGCGATCAAGAGTTGCATGCTCCACTGGCTGAGCCAACCAGGCATCCCTATGCTACACCATTTTATTTTATTTTTATTTTTTTAAAGATTTTATTTATTTATTTGACAGAGAGAGACACAGCAAGAGAGGGAACACAAGCAGGGGGAGTGGGAGAGGGAGAAGCAGGCCTCCCGCGGAACAGGGAGCCGGATGCGGAGCTCGATCCCAGGACCCTGGGATCACGACCTGAGCCAAAGGCAGATGCTTAACCAACTGAGCTACCCAGGCACCCCTATAATGTTTTTCTATAGAAGTCTTACAACCCTATTGTTACGGTTAATTCCTAAGTTCAAGAAACAAAGAAGGCAGATGATGCTGTGCAGAGCAAGATGTAAGGCAGATGATGAGGGGAGCCAGAGAGACAGCATCATTGCATAGGGTCTTGAAAACCATTTTCAGGATTTTAATGCAATGGAAAGTAACTGAAGAAGTTTCTGGTAAAACTGGAGGGAAGTCTTTATGGTAAGTCATTGGGTTCTGCTTATGTCTGTGTCCTGGCCTATATTTTGGTCAAAATTTGGATGAATAAATATAAAGCACACTTTTCATGGATAATAAATACATTAGATAACCCTAAAATGTCTTATTGTGAACTTGTAGAGCCTCAAGAATATATCCTTAGACATGGGACTGGATGTTCGCTAAGATCCTTTCCAACTCTGTTGCTGGGGTTCTATGCTTTCCATCCTGGGTACTCTGGCACTGGAGGAAGTGTTCTTTCCCATTGGAGGTGGGGAAACAGAAGGAACTGTGCTTTGAGAAACAATCTATTAAGGCAGATCCACGTTTCCACGAGTGATTCCACATAGGTGGTAAGTGCTGTAAGAGAGAGGCATAGAAGGGGTGCAGGAGGATGTGTATGAACTGGAGAGGGTGGTGCCTAAGTTGTGTAACTGGGACTGAAGCAGGTGGAAGGGGGGCTTGGAAGTAGCTGTGGCAGTACATAGGAAAGACAAAAGGGACTGAACCAGAAGGGCATCAGTGTTTAGGTAGAGATATTTCTTTCTTTCTTTTTTTTTTTTTTAATTTTATTTATTCATTTGAGAGACAGAGATACAGAAACAAACAGAGCATGAGCAGGGGGAGAGGCAGACAGAGAGGGAGAAGCAGGCTCCCCACTGAGCCAGGAGCCCGATGTGGGGCTCGATCCCAGGACCCTGGAATCATGACCTGAGCTGAAGGCAGATGCTTAACCATCTGAGCTACCCAGGCGCCCCAGTAGAGATGTTTCTGAGGCAGAAGGAGCATCTGGTAGGCCTGAGATGGGGGGAGGTGGGGGGATAATTGAGAATGACTCTTGAGTGACTATCTTGGGATACACGATACACATAATATGATGACTTTATTACCTTAAAGAAGGAATGGAAGATTCCAACACTTCTGAATTTTCCTAGCCATCTGACTTCTAAGGAGCTCAAAGCTAATTCCACTCTTGAAGCCTGGGACGGGCACTGGGGCTGGTTACTCTAGGCAGCAGAAGAATCAGAATAACTCTTTTAGCTCCCACCCTTTTTTTTAGGCTTTTTAGCTTTTTAAGCTTATTTAGTTCCCACCCTCCCAACAGTTAGGCTCCTGCTTGGACAAAAATCTGTGGGCTTTGGTATGAAGTAATGCTAATTCACTAGGACAGGAAGCCTATTTTATTTACTTTTTTCTAAGTGACCCTCACCATGCAGGCCTTCCTGATGTGCTGGTCCTCATTCAGTGTCTGTTGGATGAATGAATTCAGGCTTGCAACGGCTGTTTCCCTGCTTTGGAGTCTGCATGTGAGAGAGGGGAAAAGCTCTGAGTTTGGTCCCACAACACCTGCCTTATGAATTGGTCTGTGACCTAGAACCGTCATTTCAGTTCTCTGTGACTGGCCTAAAGTTTTTTCCAGGGCTCCAAATTCATAGTACTATGCCTTTTTCACTTATCCTTCTACTCTTCATTCCTTTGTATTTGTATAGGCTATAAATGCTCCTTCATAGTCATTATGAGCAGTACTCTATAAATGCTTGCTAAGTCCTAGGCACCAATCTAAGCACTTTAATGTGATCCACCTAACAACCCTAATAAACTAGGTGCCACTCTTACCCATTTTACAGTTGAGGAAACTGAGGTACAGAGAAATTAAGTATCTCCCACAAGCTCACGTAACTTCTAAGTAGCAGTTCCCAGATGTGTACACAGGGACTCAGGGGCCACAGTCCAAGTTTAACTACCTCACTATGCTACTTCTAGGTCACCCTAATGGGGACTATGACAGAGGCCGGTGACTGCATTATTTCATTTTTACTAAGGCAACTGAAGCTGAACTTCTCTACGGTGACACACAGAGTAGCAGAGCTGACCCCAAACCAGGGCTTTCAACCAAGTCCAGTGTTCTTTCTGGTAAGCAGCCTGCTCTAGAGGTTGACTACATGGCCCCAAGGCCTCGTTGCCTGAGTTAAAGCACCAATCTGCTGATTGCGGGCTTGCTGTCATTAGGTAAATTACCAAACTTCTGTGTTTGTTTCTCATCTGTAAAATGAGAATGGGAACATGAACACCAATTGTAGAGCATTGTTGTGACAGCTAAATGAGTTATTAGGTGTCGCATACTTAACACGAGAGAGCCTGGAATATAGTAAGTACTCAGGCGTTAGCCATCACTTTTCCTGCTATCCAGCAGATGCAGAACGTGACCGAAATAGTAATTTTAAGTTTTCTAGTGGCCACATTTTAAAAAGCAAACAATAACAACAACAAAAAACCCCATGAAATTATTCTAAATGTGCTTTTTTAACCATATATATCTAAAACTGTAACCAATTTTGTCATCAATTATCCAGTTTATAATCAATATAAAATTATGAATGAGATACATTCTTTGGTACTAAGTCTCGGAAATCCGATGTGTATCCTCACCTACAGCACATTTCAACTTGGACCAGCCACGTCACTTGTGCCTGGTGGCAGCGCAGCCCTGGAGCGGCCCCACACCGGCGTCCCCGTCCCCCCACGGTTCCTTCCCGCGACCAGCTGGCCCGCGCCCTAGGCCCCGCCCCGCGCCCCGCCCCGCGCCCCGCCCAGGTTACATCACAGAGCCCGCAGGCCCCGCGGGCGGGGAGACCCGGGGCCCGGCCGCGTGTGCCCGGCCGCTCGCATCCTCCCCGCTCCAGGCACCCAAATTCTGAAAGGAAGCGACGTCCACCACAGAGCCGCGGCGGCGGCCGGTCTACCTGCCGGCCGCCCGGGCGCTAGCAGACGGGAGGCGGGAGTCTGAAGCCCCCATGCGTACCTCGCCCCCAACGGCCCTCCGCTCGCGCCGCTTCCACGGCGAGGTCGAGGCGGCGGGGCCGGCGCCCATTGGCCTGCCACAGCCCTCCGCCCGCCCCCTCGCCTCGCTTATTGGTCGGAGCAGCGGCGCCCGCGGGATAGGCGGTGGCGGCGCCACTCCCTCGCGCCGGCCCTCAAGAGGGCGACGAGGAAGCGGCCGCCTCCCTGCGCCCCGCCCCACGGGCTAGCTCGGTGGCTCCGGCTCCTCCCGACTTCTCCCGGCTCCTCCCGGCTCCTCCCGGGCCTCTCCCGGCTCCCTCCGGCTTCGGCTCCGGCGCGGCGGCGGCGGGTAGGTGCGGCGACAGGCGGGGCCCGATCGGAGGGGCGGCCTCCCCACTGTCCCGGGGGCTGCCCGAGCCGCGCCCCGCGGCCGCCCGGGACCCCGCAGGGCCCGCCAGAGGCGGGGAAGGGCGGTGGCCGCAGACCTGCGGGACGCGGGGGCGGCCGGGCTGGGGGCCTGCGGGCGTGATCTTCCGAGGCTTCGGGGCGCTCAGCGATCCGGGGGCCCCTCGGGGCGGAGCGGGCTGAGAGGACCAGGGCTTCGGGCGTCTGAAGCGTGGGGCCGAGCGGCAAGCGTCGGGCTGAGGATGGGGTTGCGCTCGCGGAGCGAGGGTCGGCTGCGGTCTGGGGCCCTGGGTGGGGCTCGGGGGCGTAGGAAAACTCAAAGGTCGTTCCGTGAGACTTCGGGGGGGTCAGTTGAGGTGGGGGTGATGTGAGCTAGAGAAAGTGCCCAGTCTGCGGTTACGGGCGGGGCTGAGGGGCGGTCTGGAGAACCGGGCCCCAGCCTGGGCTCCCGGCGCGCGTCCCCTCCGGCACTGTTGGGGGACTAGCGTGTGTCTGGCTGCGGGAGGGCGAAGCCGTCGCAGCAAGGGTGGGGATGGGAGGATTGGGACAGGGACCGGGAGGGGACAGTTGGAAACGTTACCCAGAACCGAGATTGTGATTTAGCACTTGGACCAGGTTCTCCGCTGGTGTATTGCCTGAGCTCTTTTTTGGTGAAATTACCTCGTGGGGGAACGTTGGGATTTTTTTGCTCCCATTCAGAAACGTGTAAATTAAATGCATTTGCTGCTTTGGGGAGGAGGCAGTCATTACGCTTAGGTTTGTGTTTTAGCACCCAGACCCGGTGTGAAGCGCGCTTCTCGGGAGGGTTAGTGTTACCCAGCTTTCTCCTGGAAACCCCCTTTCTCCTTTCCCTCCTCTGGTTCGGTTACACTGTTGCTCCCTAGGGCCTCTCGATTCGCTCTCCCTGGCTGCATAGCATTGCAGTGTTTCTCTCTCTCTCTCTCTTTCTCTCTCTCTCTCTCTCTCTCTCTCTCTCTCTGTGTGTGTGTGTGTGTCTCCCGCCCGTTTCCCTGCTGCTGCGCTTTTGGCAACTGCCTCTGCTCTTTCCCAGGGATGGTTGTGGCATTGCATCAGGGGATATTTGTGCTTGTAATTTGCTCACTCAGCCCAGGAAGAGGGAGAATAGTATGCTGCAGAGATGGGAGGGGGGTGCCGTCAGCTCGGCTGGGTAGGCAGAGAAATGGGTGTGGTGAGGGAATACAGCTGCTCTAGGCCTGTAGGGTAACACTGCCCAGTCATCAGCTCAAAGAGATTCAAAGAGCAGCAGCAACAGCTATTTTTATAAATCAGTCCTGAATCCAAGCTGAGCACATGGATTTAGAGTGAACAGTTGTCATGCTCTAACTATTACCGGCTGGGTGTTTGGTAGACAACATTGGAGTTGCTAAGTGAGTACAGTGCAGCAGGTACTTTACTTGCAACTTTTAAACTCTGCTCCTCTCACCTCTCTGGGACGGGACCTCTCTCTTCAGGGGGTGTCTTTCCAATGCAGTGCTTTGATGGTCCAGACTCCTCCTTTTCAAGTGAAATGTTTCTGTATCAGTGGTAGTCTTCCTCTCCAGTTTGGCTTAAAAATAATAAAGCTGTCACCTTTTGAGCACTTGCCATCTTCCAGGGACTAATTGTAGGTATTTGTTTACAGATGGGGAAATTGAGACTGACAAGAATAAGAGGTCACATAGATAGTTATGTGGCAGAACTGGCATCCACATCAAGGTCTCTCTGACCCCCCCTCCCCCCAGTTTAGAAACGTGAAATTTTTGGTTCACACAGGAGTGACTCAAGCGCTTGAGAATTTATTCATGCAAAGTAATCTCACCAGAGACTGATTAGCCAGATACCAGTTTATTTACACCGAAAGTATAAAGTGCATGTACACAATTGGAATTAATTATCCGCTGGCTAGGACGCCTCCTTTGTTTCTGGGCAGCCAAATCAGTAATAAAAAGGCAATTGATTATAGAATGGGAACTAAGGGCCCTGGATGTTCTTAGGGGATGTTTTAATCAAATTACTGAATCCTGGTGAGTTTCCCTTCTTTTCCATTGTATGAACAAATACATTAGTGTTTGACAGTGCTGGGAAGATTCTAAGAACATTTTCCCACCCTGTCTCAGTGTTGTTTTTTTTTAAAGTCATCTCTTGAAATATTTGTCATCTCAGCCTATTTAACCTGTGTTAAGATTCTCAAATTTACAAGCAAGTTTACATTACATATTAAAAAGTCATTTTCCATTGTTTGCTGACATTGAAGGAAGCACCTGGATTTTCTTATGTCCAGGTGGCTTAGCTCTGTTTTTAATTTTTCTTGAGGATATGAAAACTTTTTAATTACATACTCTGGCTTTCAGGGGAGAGTAGGACAGGTTTCCCAAGCTTGCTTGAAATGGTTTGAGAGCTGGGAAAGATACTGCCTTGTGGTTTTAATTTTGGTTATAGGGTGGGGGTGTTTGTGGAAGTGAGTGTTCCCTTGTGTGAAGGGGGGACTTGTGCAATCAAGATAGGTGACTTAGCTTTATTTTTTTAAAGATTTTTTTAAAATTTATTTGACAGCGGGAGAGCACAAGCGGAGGGAGTGGCAAGCAGAGGGAGAAGCAGGCAGAAGCAGGCTCCCCGCTGAGCAGGGAGCCCGATGTAGGGCTCGATCCCAGGAATCTGGGATCATGACCTGAGCTGAAGGCAGACGCTTAACGTACTGAGCCACCCAGGCGTCCTGGTGACTTAGCTTTAGTCAGAGAGTTCTTCCTGATTTCAGTGTCTTGTTCTTTTTCCCCAACTGATCCATCCTTTGTCTCTTTTTTTTTTTTTTTGAAATTTCTGCTGTTGACCCTTCAAATTTAGGGCATCTTCCTCCTCCTCCTTCTCTTCCTTCTTCTCCTCCTCCTTTTTTTTTTTTCCTTCTTCTTCTTTTAAAAATTATTATTATTACTATTTTTAAGTAATCTCTACCCCCAACATGGGGCTCAAACTCAGGACCCCTGAGATCAAGAGTGCATGTTCGGTCCACCAACTGAGCCAGCCAGGCGCCCCCCTTCTTTTTTTAAATACTAAGCATGGTTAGTTGATGTGTAGATTTTATTTTCCCTTAAAAAGCAAGAAAATCTGAGGAACATTTTGACCTAATGGAAGTCATTGGTGGTTCATTTGATTTGGTAATTTGAAAAGGAAACCGAGTAAATATCACAAATTTCACTTTGTTCTTCTAAATGGCACTTTTAGAACCAGGTTTTTGTGGACTTAACTGCTAGGAATGTGTTGAGGACAATTATGGTCAAGAAAGGGGATAAAGCAAACTGACATATATGAGGGATCATATTCACCACCTTTTTAGAGCTCTCTGGGCTAATCTCTCGACACAGACCTAATGGGAATTGTTTTGTATGCCATTACATTTTTGTTTAATTTATTTTTGAGAGAGAGACAGAGTGCGCATGTGCGAGGTGGGGGTGAGGGCGAGGAGAGGGGGAGAGAGTGTTTTAAGCAGACGCCAAGCTGAGTGCCAAGGGATCCAGGGCTCTGTCTCACCACCCTGAGATCACGACCTGAGCCGAAACTAAGAGTCCGAGGCTTAACGGACTGCACCACCCTGGCGCCCCTGTATGTCATTAAATTTTTGAGCTTGAAAGTCAATCCAGTTTACTTTGGTGTTTGTTTATACCGTAGAAAAGTTAATCTTCCTTTAAAAAATTTTTTTTGGATTATTTATTTGGGAGAGAGCACGTGTGTGCATGGAGGTGTACGGGAGAGAGAAAGAGAGAATCCGGTGGCTCTATCTTAGGAACCTGAGATCACGACCTGAGCTGAAACCAAGAGTCTTGATGCTTAACCGACTGCGCCCTCCAGGCGCCTGGAAATGTTAATCTTCTCGCGGTAGAACTTCTTATTGGTTTGCATGTATTTCAATTTCTTTTAAAATGTATTGCTTTTCCTCACTTTCTTTCTGACTTTACAAGAAGGCAGTTTAAAAAATATTTTATTTTGAAATAATTTTAGATTTACAGAAGATTGTAAAGATAGTACAGAATTTCCATATAATCTTTTTTTTTTTTTTTTTTTAAAGATTTTATTTATGGGCGCCTGGGTGGCTCAGTTGGTTGAGCGACTGCCTTCGGCTCAGGTCATGATCCTGGAGTCCCGGGATCGAGTCCCGTCGGGCTCCCTGCTCGGCGGGGAGTCTGCTTCTCCCTCTCCCGCTCCTCCCTCTTGTGCTCTCTCTCTCTCTCACTCTCTCTCTCAAATAAATAAATAAAATCTTTAAAAAAAATATTTTATTTATTTATTTGACAGAGCGAGACACAGCGAGAGAAGGAACACAAGCGGGGGTGGGGTGTGGGAGAGGGAGAAGCAGGCTTCCCGCAGAGCAGGGAGCTTGATGCGGGGCTCGATCCCAGGACCCTGGTATCATGACCTGAGCGGAGGCTTAACGACTGAGCCACCCAGGAGCCCCAGAATTTCCATATAATCTTTACTTAATTTTCCTTAATGTTAACATCTTATATAGTGATACATTTATTAAAATTAAAAAGTCAATATTAGTTTAATATTATTTTAACTAAATTACAGGCTTTCCTCTCATTTCACTAGTTCTTCCCCAGTGATACCCTTTTTCTATTACAGGATCTGATCCAGGATACCACATTACATTTAGGTGTCCTGTTTCCCTAGTTTCCAACAATCTGTGACAGTTTCTTAGTCTCTGCTTGCCTTTTTCTCCTTGACACCTTTGAAGAGTAGCAGTCGGTTA